AAACCAAACTCTATAAGTCACTCATAATACCCGTCCTGCTATATGGTGCAGAGGCTTGGACGATGACAACAACTGATGAGTTGACGTTGCGAGTTTTCGAGAGAAAAGTTCTGCGAAAGATTTATGGTCCTTTGCGCGTAGGCCACCGCGAGTATCGCATTCCATGGAACGATGAGCTGTACGAGATATATGGCGACATTGACATAGTAGTAAATACATTTAGTATTTAAAATTGAACTCATAATACCAGAAATTGATTTGAAGAAATTGTAAAAATATAGTTTATACAAAAATGTATTAATTTTCTTAACGACTTTTGKTTACATTTTTTACCTGGACTACTAATGTGCTGCGCACGAGGAGGTTCAGAGTGTCATCAATAAAGAGAAATCCTCTAAATCCATTGGCCCTGATGGGAATTTTATTGCCCGATAATTCTCCTATCCCCAGTAGTGAAGACACTTGAGGCCTTGCTACTCCCCACTTTCACACACCACCTGAGCCTAGGCAGTCACCAGCATGGCTTCCGAAAAGTGCACAGCACCACCACTGCACTTAGCGTCATAAACGCTCAGTTAGTTCGTGGCCGCAACGCTACGAGAGAATGATCCTCGTAGCTTTTGACACAGTCAACCACACAACGCTAATGCAGGACATTGAAAAAACKACGCTTCTACCAGGGCTAAAGAGGTGGACCAACCATGGAGATCTGAACGGTCGTCAGTCATCCGTACTATTTCGACGTGAAACATCTAAACTGAGATGAATTAAATAGGGGGTTCCGCAGGGTGGTGTCCTCTCTCCGCTMCTGTTTAACTTCTACATCTCGAAACTCCCGCAACCACTACAGGGKCTTTCCATAACCTCGTACAGAGATGACTACACGATATTCACGTCGGGAAATATAATCAATGGCRTGTGTTCGAAGGTAAACAACTACCTCTCCGACCTTTCTCGTTTCCTTACTGCACGAAACCTCACACTTTCCCCCACCACAGTGACCGCGATTATCGCCAAAATAGAGAGCTGCAACAAAATCCTCAAGTCGCTGGCCAGCAGCACATGGGGAAAAGACAAAGAAACGTTGTTGGCAACTTACAAGGCCATCGGTCGGTCGRTATTTAACTACGCAGCACCAATATGGTCGCTTGGATGCAGTGGTACGCAGATGAGGAAACTTCAGACCTGTCAGAATACTGCACTCCGGACGACGACGGGGTGCCTTTYGATGTCTCCCACAGAACATCTCCAYAGTGAGACGCTTAAGCTCCCTTGTAAAGGAGCATAATCAACTCCTTTCCGTAGGAATCACCCTTGTAGCCATCTGCTTGGAGCGGAACCGCCTAACAGGAGCATCAAAAGGTCTTTCCTTGACTACGTCGTCGACATCGAACAGTACGCCAACCGGACTTCGGACGCAACTGACTTTCGACAGGTACTGACCGCCATTCGCGGTGGAGCCATCAACGCCTTCACCGACTCCCTTCCCGTGAACGGCGTTCTTGGAGTCAAATCACCACCTATCGCAGACGAAGAGCTCCAGTTGTCGCGAGAAACGCGAATGGGCAACAACTATGCAGATATGGCAATACCATTTATTTGCTAGTATGCAACCCTATTCTAATTGTGCAAATGCAGTGAATTTAACGAAAATAAAATAATTAAAATAAAGCTTTATATTCAATAAATATTAAAAAAATTAATATACAGAAACGTTATAGTGAAGTGTTACTAAGTGAAAAGTGCATAATATACGTGAAAAAGTTATTCACAATATACAAATTATCAATTTAAAAGTTGTCAATTTTTTAAATTTAAATGCAAATATCTTTAAAACTATCAGYGGTAACTATATTCGTGATCTGGAGAACGTCACCTTTCCAGTGATATACCTTTTATTTTATTCCCGAAATCCGGTGATGCTATTCTAAATCTCAGCCAAAATGTGGGTTTATACATAAATACCTTTGTATGAGCCTACATAAAAAATATAACCCACATATTTGCCGGTGAAATTTAATTTTAGTTTTCTTTTTCACGTTTGGTTTCGTTGCCATTGAATAAGTTTATCTTATCACATTTGTCAATAGAAAAATATTGGCATTATAACAATTAAATGTTGTTCTTTTCTAACATTGGTAGGGTGCGGCTGTATTAACATATTATTTTGCTGATARTGGCAGTGTTGTTTCAAAATTAAAAAATTCAAATATTTAAATCCACAACGAAGCGAATTTCGGATATAAAATTTTTTTTTTTTCAATTTTAACTTGAGTTTTATTTCCCTATATTTGGAACGACTAATATACATACGTAAGCATGTACACAGGGGCTAATCAACTCACTAAAAGTTCAAATTATGCATTATTTCCATCATAAGTGATATTCTGCGATGAAAAGTACTATGAGTTGCAAGTAAAAAAATTTTTAGGTCGAACGTCCATCACGTATGTAGAACGCTGTATCACCTTCTGCAGTAGCGTTAAAATTCGAAACAAAATCATAACATTTTTGGTGTTTGCATATATGCACATTGATTTAACTTTCACACGCATACTGACCACACAAATGGCGACTCAATAATTCTTTTTGACTGATTATCTAATATTAAAAACTTAGTCTCCCGCTTACGAATTTTCCATAAAATTGTTAATGCCATTTATTGCATTGACGTGGATTTACRTGATGATATCGTTGTGTTTTCGCTAATAAAGTTAAAAAAATTTCTATTTATTAATCTTTTTAAGGTGAAATTATGTAAATATTAAGTTACAGCATATTAATTAGATTGAACACCATTTTTTTTTTTATAAAAAGAGATGAAAATTCTGGAAATACAAGTTTTTATGTACACATACATATGTATGTATAAGCAAAATGGCTCTGATTAGTAAATAATTCAAAGACCAAAGTGACATTATAAAAGTTTTCTTTTGAAAGAATCACAAAGGCTATATATGTATGTAAATAGACACTGTATATTTTTGTGCTACTTTATTTAATGCTATTGACATTTATTATGTTGTTGCTAGAAACTTTCCATTGAATTGTTGCGCATCAGTCTACTATGCGATTATATGACAATTTAATTGCTTTGTGTTCTCGTATTGCTTAACAATTATTTATATCGGTGGTATGAACAATAAACAAAGCTGGCTGACTACTTTCTTTTATTATTTTACTTTCTTCTTTTCACAAGACAAAATTGTATCCGAAAACAAAGAACATTTACATATGTATATGTATATACATATATATGTACTTATATGTATATGTGGTAAAATAAATAGAATAAAGGAAAAAAGTTATATACTTATGTAGAAAATGTCCTAAAAAAAAGCGCCGAAAGGGTTTTGCTTGATTGTATTGATTAATAATATATTTTTCAATTATTTATTTGTTAATAAGCATAGAAAACTTTGGAAAATTTAATTTGCTAACAAAATATACAGTTGACGCCATTAATTAATACTGAGTAATGTTTCTTAATTCACCAATGTTCTTTTATTTTTTCTTGTCACGGTTGGTCGTATTACATAGGAGTACATTTGCATGATAATATACCTACAAATTTATCATACCTATTGATAGATGAATTGTTATAAGTTACGGGACAATTACACTAAAATAATTTTGTATTGTATGTACATACATATGTTTATACATGTTTTATATTGCCGCCCTCATATAGACGACAGTTATTAAGGTCACGTTTGAGTTCTTTCACTTTTACTTTCATSCAACAAATTGGCACAAGTGCCACCCGGCTTTTTCGTTGCTGGTAATTGATTTGTACAAATAAATATGCATGCACACATACCCGGTATGTTCATAAGAAAGCTTCAAGTAACTTACTTAAAAAATCATTTGGCATAAAATGATATGCAAAACATATTCTATCTAGCTGATGAACCTAAATATACGATACAAAGCAATAATACGTTGTTAAACTTGCAGAGGTGAACCCTTTGACAACTATGATCATATGAACTTGTATACACCTTTAGTAGGTTGATATGGAAAAATGGAAAAATGGAAAACTAGTCATTAAATATTAGTAGTGGTTTTAAGATATTGCATAATATGTATGGTCAAACGATATAGTGTTCATTTTTCATAGCACTTGCATTTAGTTTTGAAAATTTTGCTTTCTTTTATATTTCTTTCTTTCACTAAAAATAATTTAGCGTTTCACAAGTTTTTCGAAGCCGTTATATTACTCTTTTTTCACTTTCATTAACTTCCTTTTCCGCACCCTTAATTTTATATCACACACAAATAAAGTATTAATTACAAAACATTTATAATATAAGCGCTTCCTTGAAAAATCAAAWATGATTCTATATAATTATTTATTTAAAAATTCAACCCACATTTCATTAGTACAACGACTCGTTAAAAACTAAATAACTGCTTGCTGYTGCTAGTTTTGTACATGCAGAATAGCTCTGAAGAACGAGCACTCAAAAGCACATTAAAATACACGTTTACTCGTTGTTGAAATTGTTTTATGTGGCCAGACTGTTTAGCAAGTAAAAGCTTTTTAGCAGAACWATTATTTTTTAATTGATAACACATAAAAATTTCTTGAGCTATAGTGAAAAAACTCTGACGATAATGTTTGTCGGAAAAATACGGAGACTTACATATGTACATAAGGGCTGATATGTTGTATAGGAATGTTGACGGAAATGAAGTACCATATTATTATAAAATATAATAACGGAAACGTATTGTTTTAAGGTCTGGCAATTCAAAAAAGGAAATAAAAATTATACGACTACTTAATTGAAGTATATTTAATATCTTAGAGTGATATTTTGTTTGTTTTTGTCTTAAATTTATACAATTGTTARTATGTTTTCTTCTCCATCTTTAGTTTTATATACAGCATGTCCGATATTAATAACAAATCATCAATGAGCAATCTGCAGCCCCCAACAACAACAACCGTCGGTCAAATGCTAGCYCCAGCAAACACTGCACCACAAAAACTTTATTCAGGTTCCGCTACTGGGAATCCACGTAACAAATGTGCGCTCAAGCCTGGTCACTCTCTATTGGATTGGATACGACTTGGTAACTCAGGCATAGACTTAGCAGGCACACGTGGTCGTGTGACGACTGTAAATAGCGACGAGCTTGCACGACATAATACTCGGGAGGATGCTTGGATGGCGATACGGGGCAAGGTGTACAATGTGACGCGTTACATGGATTTTCATCCTGGTGGTGAGTTGAATGTGCCCATTTTGAAACCAAAAMAAAAAAATTAATTCTTAACTCTAATCAGGTGTTGACGAGCTAATGCGTGGCGTTGGATGCGATGCCACAAAACTYTTTGATGAGGTACATGCCTGGGTAAACTATCAACAATTGTTGGTGAAATGCTTTATTGGTCCATTGCGTACGTTGTCCAAAATGAGTTCCTTACCAGAAGGGAGAACACCAGTTCCGAMAGCTAACTTTGAAATACCGTCCAGTAACAAACCTGTAAACACAAACATCGAAATTGTACCACGTTTTGACTGGATACAGAAACGACAAGACCTCACAATCTACATTTATACTCGCCAACTTTGCAATCCAGGTCTGCTATTGCGCCGAAAATGTGCTAARAAACTACAACTGCAGGTGCAAATAAACAGTGCACAACATATATTTGAATTCGAGCTGCATGAAGAAATAGATTGGCCACCGAAGTCAGTGCGTGTTGGTAGTGAGACAGGTAAAATCGAAGTATCGGTCACTAAAGTAGAGCCTGCTCTATGGTCAACGTATGGAGCACACAATGTATCGAAAGGTGTAGTGGGTGAAACGGAGGATTTGGAGTATGAATATGAAGTWGTAAAATGTACGGATTTTAATCATGATTCATTCGTGTTATGTTTGCGTGATATACGAGGCACATTGATGGTGCTACCCATTGGCTATCACATGACTGTAGCGGCGCTAATAAATGGTAAGAACATAAATGTTCTAAATATAAAAGAAAATAATGATTTTRAAAATATTAATTTAAAATTTTCACTTATGTACACACAGGCGAATTGATCCGTCGCAGTTACACACCTGTTCCAGGCAAAGTTCTGCCACAACCTCACACTGACAATGAAAGCAATAGTACAAATTTAAAYTTCCTTATTAAAAGCTACGGTGAGGGCATACTATCGACGCATTTGCGTCAGAAGCAAATCGGTCAGATGTTATTACTATCAACACCACATGGCAATCTTCATCTTCAACGTTTACTGCCTCATCGTCAAATAGCTCTTATCGCTGCTGGCAGTGGTCTGACGCCTATGCTAAATTTAATTGAACATTTGCTTAAACGAAATGCAAACCGAATGTGAGTGAAAATGCATATTAACTAACGCCTTAAGTCTTTCATATCCAAGCTTACTTCAGAATATATTTAAATACATAAATGTAGTACAAATTATATATTCGTGATAGGTATGACTTTCTCTTGATCAAGCCTATAGTAAATAGTGAGCTTTTCTCATGCAGCAATTACAAGCGATTGTTTTAGCAAACTTTATATTTTTAAGATACAATTATGGGACTTTAGAGCAATAACACACGCAAAATTTCACACTTTTTGACTTTTATAGCGACTATTTACGTTTAATGTACTTCAATAAAACACCAGCAGACATATGGTGTCGYGGTGAGCTAGAACAGCTGCAAAAAACTGATGAGAGGTGAGGCAGTAATTTTGGTAGAAAATATGTTATATATTAAAGTATTTGTTATATATACACTATAATATRATATCTGTAGATTCCAATTGGTGAATGTGCTTTCCGCAGCCGACGCAGAATGGACGGGATTACGTGGGCGGATATGCAACGAGCTACTAGCCCCTCTAATAACGAAAAACACAACAGAATATGCCAGTTTTGTGGCTGTATGTGGACCTAGCGCATTTAACCAAGCAGCTCAGGATATATTACAGGAGTTGAAATTTAATTTGGAAAATTTACATATATTTCAAGGTTGAATAAAGCCGCTGTTTTTATATAAAACATTAAGTTGAAAARTGGACAGTATATAATTGTAGTACATTGTTATTGTTGTTTTTAAGTTTTGTCAATTTTTTCTATCATGTACTTAGAAAATGTATTGTAATTTCGAACCAGATTTTGTAAAAATATATGTGACTAAACATCTAGATCAAATTTAATCTTGCCCTTCCGACGTCCGCCGAGTCGACGTAGATTAGATTATTTGTRAGATAATGCACCGCGACCTAGGGTCTATTGTGTCCTCTCCTACATCACAAGACATCCCATAGTTCCAGCAGCCTGAATAGTTCCAGGAGTTTGCCGGGCGACGTAACCGGAATGGCTCCGGATTTTCATGCCGTCAAGAACTGTCAAYACGGAAATATTCTTCATATATATATAGAAATGATCTTACTGATAATAAAAAATAAATAAATAATAGTTTCCAATTTAAAAATATTCATTATCGACTCTATTATTTAATTTACTTTCATATACAATTGTTTCCTTCCTCTTTTGTTTATCGTTAAATATTTTTGTTTTTATGTTTAGGTATATAATTTAATAAAATTTTAACAAATTACTAGAAGTAGCAAAAAAAACATACTACAAATACACAACACACCACTTCTAGTAGAATATCATGAAGTTTTAAGGTATTTAAAGACAGTGTTAGATTTTTTCACGAATGCGTTACGTTAAGGCGACTCACTTTGCTTTACCGCTTCTAATTATATGCTAAGGAAAAAATAAAACTATTAAGTAAATAAAAACACAATTGATTGTTTCCTTCCTAAAAATCATCATTAAGTATACATTGCAAGATACTTTTAGAATTGTTGTGTGTAAATAAGTGGGTATATGTGAACCTATGTGCGGTTTGTAGGGCAGAAAACATTATATGCCATTCGTGAATAAATTATACAAGTGTAAGGGAAGGTGTTTAGTTTGCTGCTTGTATAGCTTATCTCAATATAGTTGTATAGATTCAGCGCTTTTAGAACTTTTCACGAATCAAAATCATTATTCAGCGAATTACTTAAAGGTGACATGTGAATACAAATGTAYGCCACTCCTACGCAATTTGAAGTGTTGATGGTTACGTTGATCCATTTAATTACTGAGTATTAATTAATAGGAACGTATTGCTGGTGGCACAGTTTGTACGGTATCATCCAAAGTCTTATCAATGACCGGGCGGTACTTGATTTTTATATCGCCAGCATCGCCGCACACCCATGTCAAAGTATGTTTGCGCCAATGCTCGTCCAGTGGTTTCTGCTGTTGACCCTCAATTGGCTTGCTGAAGTCCTGAATGTTAAAAGTAATTATTGAGTAAAAAAAGCTGCGAAAACCAAAAAAGCAAGTACTTACATATTCATCGATACGCGTCTTGTAGTCCTCGCGCGCATGTGCACCACGCGATTCTTTGCGRTTTTCTGCTGCAACAATAGTCATTTGAGCGTTGGCCAAAAGATTTTGTAATTCGAGCGTTTCAGCCAAATCGGAGTTCCACACATTCGATCTAAACGCGATAAATTAAACTCAGTATACACAGCTGCACGAGTGATAAATTGCTTATTTAGACTTACTTGTCAACAACCTTGACATCTTGGAATTCTTTGTAGATCTCCACCATCTTCTCGCAACCTTTCTTCAATATGGGACCATCACGGAACACGGCAGCGTGACCCTGCATTGTCTTTTGCATTTTCAAACGCAAATCGGCGGTGGTAATCTTGCCATTATTATTCTTAATTTTATCCAAATTAGCAACGGACATCTCACCAGCATTCTATAAATAAAAATTATAATTTTGTAAATCATACAAAAAATGTATAAATGCTCAAACTAGACTTGACCGAGAGATAAATATTTCAGTTAAATGAAAATTTCACTCACATCCTTCAAACTAGGAGCTGACACGCCGGGTTTGTTCTCTTCAGCAATTGTAAGCGCGCAAGCACGACCAAATACGACCAAATCCAACAATGAATTAGCGCCCAAACGATTGGCACCGTGCACAGATGAACTGGCAGCCTCACCGGCGGCATACAAACCGGGCACTACGACATCACAGCCGTTCTCATCGATGGTCAGTACTTGACCCTTGTAGTTGGTTGGGATGCCGCCCATATTGTAATGCACTGTCGGCAGCACTGGGATGGGTTCACGTGTCACATCTACGCCGGCAAAGATCATTGCGGTCTCGGAGATGCCTGGCAAACGTTGAGCCAATTGATCTGGTGGCAAATGATGCAATTGCAGGAAAACGTGATCCTTTTCAGGTCCAACACCACGTCCTTCCATGATTTCGATGGTCATTGAACGTGACACCACATCACGTGAAGCGAGATCCTTGGCAACTGGCGCATAACGTTCCATAAAACGTTCACCCTTTGAGTTCACCAAGTAACCACCTTCACCGCGACAACCTTCAGTAATTAAACAGCCGGCACCATAGATACCGGTCGGATGGAATTGCACGAATTCCAAATCTTGTATGGGCAAGCCTTGGCGTGCGACCATTGCGCTACCATCACCAGTACACGTATGTGCTGATGTGCACGAGAAGAAAGCACGTCCATAGCCACCGGTCGCAATGACGGTGTTATGCGCACGAAAACGATGCAGTGTGCCATCTTCCAGATTCAGTGCCAACACACCTTTGCACTTACCATCCTCGAATATTAAGTCTAATGCGAAATATTCGACAAAGTAATTACAATCATAACTCAACGACTGCCCGTACAGTGTGTGCAACAGCGAGTGACCTGTACGATCCGCTACGGCGCAGCAACGATGCGCTTGACCACCCTTACCGAATTTCAAACTTTGGCCACCGAAAGCGCGTTGATAGATTTTACCTTCGGGTGTGCGCGAGAAAGGCATACCGTAATTTTCCAATTCAATGACGGCTTGTGGTGCCTCGCGTGTCATGTAGTGAATGGCATCTTGATCGCCCAACCAATCGGAACCCTTCACGGTATCGTACATGTGCCATTTCCAGTCATCGTCTTCCATATTGCCGAGTGCCGCATTGATACCGCCCTGTGCGGCAATTGTATGTGAACGGGTTGGGAAGAGTTTGGAGATAACAGCTGTTTTGAAGCCTTCAGCCACCAAACCGAAAGCGGCACGCAGACCTGCACCACCAGCGCCAACAACAATGGCATCGTAACTGTGATCGACAATCGGGTACTCTTTGGAGATGGCATCCGTGCGTACTTTGGCATCATTTTTGCCATGTGTAATGTGCAATTCACGTTGTGGCAATACAGTGGCAGTTCGTAGCTGGAAATATACAAATGAATAACAGTTATGGATGAATTAAACTTTCATAAATAGTTGTAAATAAATTTTAAATACATTAAAAAAAAAACTTTTTGTGTTTCTGTAGCTTCAAATACTTCTTCGTAAACTACTACTCGAGTGCGGTTTGATGCTTTGAATGTGCTTGAAAACGATGCAACCGAACGAAGGAAGAGTCAATAAACTTCACCAAGCTTTCCCAACTCGATTTACAATGAGATATACTTAAACCTTATAACTATCTGCTGTGAAGTGATAAATAAATTAAGAAAATACTTAGCTTTATTTCTATTTATAAGGTATGTTACGAAAGATTACGAAACAAATTGTTTACTAATCATTCAACTGCTCGTTTTATAAGTGAACTGCGTTGTTTTTTTTTTTTTCTCAGAAAAATAGTCGTATATGTAATTTTCATGTGTTATTTAAACTTTTTTCCTTAATGTAGTAACAATAAAAACTTACTATAAATTTAATTAAGTAAACGGTTTCGTATTGACTCTTCACGCTTTTATGGTTGCATGCATAAGTATCTGTCTATTCGCCGATAATATCCCTCTTTTTGTTAAAACACGAAAATATAAACTTACTGACAAACTCATGGTGTGAGACACGCCAAGCTGCTAATGGGAGGTTACAACYTGAAARGGTTCAAAATAGTAATAAACCTCCCCAAGAGCAAACTCAGGCTGTTAGTCGCATGGTATACTTGCCACTGTAAGCTGAATAGGCATCTGCACAGAATGGTCCTATCATCTTGCGCCAACTGCCGTTTCTGTGACAGGGAGCCTGAAACTCCGGAGCATCTGTTGATCGACTGCACAGCAGTCTGTAGTCGCAGAGCCAAGGCCCTTGGAGTTCTATTTCCGAATAGGGATCGCATTGCCTCGCTAGCGCCAAGCAGTCTACTGGACTTGATTAATGGGCTGGGGCTAAGCGAGGCAATGTAAGTAAGGAGAGGGCACAATAGACCAAAGGTCGCAGTGCATTCCTCATCATCATTCATTCAGCTTACTGACAATTTATTTCGAWTGTAAAATGCAACTACAATTTCGTTTGTGTTGCAAATGACGATATCAAAAAAGATTATCTGCACTCGATTACCTTTTCCATCTGAACAGTTTTCATTTGAATCGCAAATATGCGATTTATCASAAGAATTCTTATCTTTTTCTTTACACGCTTATCGAAAGATATGTACTTATATAAAGTGGCATACGATAGAACTAAGCAACGCATACTTAACATTTTTTAGCACAACTTAATATTGAGCAATAATTTTGCGTCTTTGTTTAGAAATATTTATAAACTGATTACACTTAATTAAAGCAATTATATTGAACTAAACGATTTGAGTGTCGCATATTAGAACAACAAAGCAATTTTTATTCACAAAACATAAAATTAACTGTACTACTTATTAGTTTAATTTCTTTTCAACAGAAAGCCGGTTAAACGTTACATTTTTTGCATCACTTAGAGCTGTGTAATAGTAAAATTTCAAAAGAATACAAACATACATATATATGCCAATATTTAACTATATTAATCAAACAGTTTCGAGTAGTAGTAGTCGGCGGCAGACGTTTGCCCATTAAAACCTATATATGCATATCTATATTGATATATACGCTAGTACGTTATAACTAAATATAATCATTACAACGGGTTAGCTTGGAACTGATTTGATATAATGTATTCACTAACTATGCTTAATACAAATCGGATACTGTTCCGGTTAGGCAGACTCGATTCATGTGAATAAAGTTAGTATAGTAAAGGCTATTCAACTTTCATCATTAACATAACATTACCAAAGATATAGAAATGCAGATTAAAGATTAACTATTATTCTTATTAGATAATACTTGAAATACTCATCACTTAAAATACAAAAAAAAAAAAAACATTGCCACGTAGTAAATAGGGGTGAAATTAAATCAGCTGAGAACATTTTTTAAATATTATTTGTCCACATACAAACATGTACACTATATATACATGTAGTCCACCTTTATGAATAAACATAATATATTCTACATTAAATAAATAATTATTAGATTTATAGCTATATTGACGCGTCCTTTACAATCAAAAATTAATCTCACCAAATGCCTATATCGGACGAGACTATAGTGTCTAACACTCTGTAAACGACGGACCGGTAAAAAACAAGTACATTTTGAACATTCTGATTCTGAATTTGTAAGCGGCTAGACATGTCTTGAGATCGAAAATTTTTTAATGTACGCTTAGTGATAAACCGCTACATAGAAATGAGAGATTCACAAGTTAATGTTTTACTAACAATAAAACAATTATAAAAAAATATATGTGTGATGAAACTGTTGCGTCACGCACAACACAAACACCGTATAAATAGTTGACTTTATAGGTAGTGTCTTAATTGTGGTAGAAGATGCGAGCACATTCAACGAAAGTGATAGGCAAAGAGAATTACACAAGATACTGACTATCAAAACAAAGCTAGCTTATATAAAGTAAAGTGGTGAAAGAGCGGCATGAGGAATCAGAAATCGAGCCCTCCAGCGGTATTACGTATGTTGTCATTTTATTAGAAATAAAATGTTTAAACATTATTTAATATTACATCATTGTAATTTTAATAATTAGACCCCTAAACCAATAATGTTCATGCTAATAATTTAGTACATATACATACGTAACTAACTAAACAAAAATAAACAAACATACATATGGACATGAATAGTAGTRTTCATTAAAATAGCATTGGAGCAAAAATGAAAATATATAACGTTTGTTTTTTACATATTCCTTTTCGTTCGACATAGCATAAATTATGAAGTGAGATCCAATAAACAATGTACCACACGCAAAACTACAAATATAGATAATCGACGCATAATGCGATTAAGCGTACACAATGGTGTTATATCCTTTGCGTAGATCAATCCCAACTATAGCTTTGAGGGCCTGATACATATAATCGGGTAAAAAATTAGAAAAAAAAAAGGCATACAAACTGAGCAAATCTAAGGGTTTTTGAGTTTTAGTTATCTCTATTTTCCATTCTACAAAGACTATGTGCAACTAACGGACGGAAATATGAATTATATATTTTCGCTCCTGTTCTACTGCTTTTTTAATGAACACCGCTGTGCATCTGTTTAAAAATTTAAGAAATTTTTTAGATCGGAAAAAATTGAATCAGCAATGCACACACCTTAATTAAAGGAACAGACTTGAGATGAATACTCTAGTACCTCAAACCGCCGAAAATAGTACCAATATGAATATTGTAAACAAAATAAAAGAATGATAATGCATTTTTAAGTTGTTTCCATAGTTTATGCTAAATATATATGTACATACTTCCCACAATACACCAAAATAAATAAGTGTTATGTATACGGCGCAAAACGTATGACTGATTATGCAAATAAGAACTTATGGAAAATATACACGCAACTTAAAGCGACGTAAGCATTGCACTAAGTTATCAATGAAATTTTTAAATATTATATAAAATTAAAAATTATTGAACCAAAATTGCAAAAAATTCCCATAAAAAAGTTACATAACAAAACACCGTCTAGCTTCTTCGTTGGTCGCAGTAGCAGCAGTCGTCGTCACTACCACTCACTACGTTTCGTATACACTGATACACAGTATACTTGTGAAAGCATGCGGTCTTTTGGTGCTACCGTGGCCCTTTTTCTAATTAGTCGAGCCCCTTAACGATAATGTTCACCAGAAAATTGTTTTAAAAAAATATCATAGAACAAACAAATTTCACAATCCCACGGTTAGTGCTTCCTTTGTGTTGTGCATTGCTATTTTAGTGCAATAATCAACCGAAATTATCTTTTCCCCTCGCCGAATATTCGTAAAATGCAATGTTTGAGCTTAATGTGTAATAATGGTTGTGTAACCCAATGAAAAAGCGGAATTCTTATACTATTTAATGCATATATATAAGCATGCAATTATTTTGTCCAAGCCTGGATAATGAACTCTTCCTCATACAGCTTTACCCCTCAGATTTATAATCGATGTTTAACTTACCATTGCCGCTGCATTTTTGGCCAAAATCGATGGTACACGCATTAGGCTCGCCATTTTCGTAATATGAAACACTTCACAACAATCTCCCCTTATGGAATACTATTCGGATGTTTCACTGCGCCTATTTTAAAATAAAACCGATTATTATTGTGTTAACAAAATGTAATCCTTTCATATTTTTATTACAATTTAAATTCGCTCCAAACTAATTGTCAATTCGATGAAACTTCTCGCGCTCGCACCGATCGACTGATGAGAAGCAGCTGCCCAAAGCGCCAATGGGGAAAACAAAAACAATTGTAGCAATAGCGTTACCAATTTTAAATAAATTACTTTTAATGGTAAAACAACATAAATATTGTATAAATATATTAGAAGAAATTAAACCAATTAAAACTAATAATAAACGATGATTGAAACTTACAAAATTAATTCGCTTAGTAGTTTTCCATGCTGTTGTGAGCTGCTCTAATGAAGATGACGTTTCGCCGACACAGGGTGTCCCAAATACCAGAATATTAATAGCAGTCATTTGCTACTGCTTATAATAAAGTCAAGCCAGTCAAGCATATATTTAATAAAATTTTACAAAAAATCTTGTGACTCGATTAATAATAGATATCCACGAAATACGAAATGTCAGAGAAAATTGTTATTTGTATATAAAAGAATGTATTTAATAGATAACACCACTGTAGTTGAACGGAAACCCAGAAACGGAAATTGGGTAAAAAATATATTTGATTTACTACTAATAAATATACCTAAATGAATTGAAGTGAAAATAAGATTTTTATAGAGGATAGGAAATTTTATTTATAAAACCAGTGAAAAACTTTTGTAACGAACATTTTTAACGTAAGTCATATGAAAATAATGAAAAAATTTATTCGAATATTCTTTATGTGTGTATCTTGAATTTTGTTGTTGTTAATAGTTTTAAATATGAGACTTTTTAAACATTTACCATTTATGTTACGCATGAACAAATGGAAATTGGTAAGTATTGATAGAGGCAAATAAAGCTATACTACCTTATGTGCGTGCATTTAAAATTCTCATATATTATATTTGTGATTACAGTTCCCGTCCTTAACAACACCTAGATCCTCAATCCGTGCATTAACTTGTGACAGTAAAACACGCGGAGATGCCAAAATAAGCAAGGGTATTTCAAAAGCCTACCCGGTCGTAGATCATGCATTTGATGCTGTTATCGTTGGCGCTGGTGGTTCCGCTTTACGTGCCGCAACCACTCTAGTCGAGTTGGGGTTTAAAACCGCCGTTGTTAGTAAAATTTTCCCAACACGATCGCACACCATCGCTGCGCAGGGTGGTGTAAATGCCGCTCTAGGCAACCAAATGGAAGATGATTGGCGTTGGCATTTCTATGACACAGTTAAAGGGTCAGACTGGTTAGGCGACCAAGATGCTGCACATTATATGACGCGAGAAGCACCACGCGCCATTTTAGAACTTGAAAATGATGGTTTACCCTTTTCGCGCACTGCGGATGGTAAAATATATCAGCGACCATTTGGAGGGCATACCACAAATTTCGGTAAAGGACGTGCAAGACGTGCTTGTGCATGTGCTGATCGTATAGGACATGCCATCTTGCATACGCTTTATGGCAAATCACTCGCTTACAATATTAAATACTTTATTGAGTTTTATGTATTGGACTTGATTTTTGACAATTATGCCTGTTGTGGTGTAATTGCCATTTGTTTAGAAGATGGGACATTGCATCGTTTTCGAGCACTTAATACTATAATAGCAACAGGTGGCTATGGACGAGCGTATTTTTCCTGTACTTCCGCCCACACCAATACTGGCGACGGAAACGGAATGGTCGCTCGACAAGGTCTGCCACTACAGGATATGGAATTCATACAATTTCATCCAACGGGTATGTATGGTCCCGGTGTGCTTGTCACTGAAGGTTGTCGCGGTGAAGGGGGTTACTTAGTAAATGGAAAGGGTGAACGATTTATGGAAAAGTATGCACCGAAAGCAAAAGATTTAGCACCACGTGATATGGTGGCTCGTTCAATGACTATAGAAATAATGGAGGGACGTGGTGTAGGACCCGACAAAGATCATATTTTCTTGCAATTACATCATTTACCACGAGAAAAATTACTCACGCGTCTGCCTGGAATTTTAGAGACGGTAAAAATTTTTCTTGGAATAGATGCGACTAAAGAATCTATACCAGTAATACCTACCGCACATTACAACATGGGTGGTATACCAACGAACTATCGTGGACAAGTATTAACGATTGATATGGATGGTAATGATCGTTGTGTGGCTGGCTTGTATGCTTGTGGCGAAGTTTCATGTAATGTACATGGCGCAAATCGTTTAGGAGCTAACTCACTGTTAGATCTCTTAGTTTTCGGGCGCTCTTGCGCTTTACATATTTCCGAAAACTACCGAGCCGGCTGTCCGGCACCGAATCTGAAGGATGTGAGTTTTGTAATATACATATAGTAAATAACGGTTAAGGTTGAATATTGCAGAATGCAGGCGAAATGTCTGTGGCAAACTTAGACAAATTGCTTCATGCGAATGGCAGTATTACCACAGCCACATTACGCCATGAAATGCAAAAGGCAATGCACCAGCATGCAGGTGTTTTTCGAATTGGACCTAACCTGCAGGAAGGTGTAAAGAAATTAACTAAAATCTATAACGATTTTAAAGATGTGCGCACTGTAGACAGGTAAGTAAATAATGTAAAAATGATAAAAGTTCATATATTTGTTGTTAGATCCTTAATTTGGAATTCCAACCTAATTGAGACACTGGAGCTCCAAAATTTGTTGGTGAATGCTATGTGTACAATGGTGGCTGCTGAAAACCGCAAGGAGTCTCGAGGATCTCATATGCGTGAGGACTTTAGAGAACGTATCGATGAATATGTAAGTAACAAACTGCTCTGAATAAATGATAAATTATACTATATATTTACATAAATAGCATAGGCTATACACACAACTTAAAAAAATATTAATTTTTGTCTTTAAAAATATACAATTCCAAATATTCAATTTTTACTCATGAGAATATCTGCGCAGGACTACAGCGAGGCCATTGAATGTCAAGAGAAGTGCTCGTTCGACGAACATTGGCGCAAACACACACTTACCTGGATTTGTGGCGATACGGGCGAAGTTAGAATTAAATATCGTGCCGTTATTGATACACCCTTAGATGATAGTGTGGAACATGTTCCGCCCGCTATACGTTCATATTGAATGCTGATTAACTATACACTGATTGTTATTAATTGATTAATATTGAATAATTAATTTTACTAAAGCCCTTCAACATTATGAAAATATACATACCATTCGATTTGTTTGTCAATGGTTTAATATTTTTAACATTTTACAATAAAGGAGACTAAAAAACCACATTTTATTTAGAACATACATATAAAATTCGCGATAAAAAAATACGTATCTAATTAATACTCAAGAGGATGTGGGTGGCGTAACCTTCTTACCGCAACGCACCGAATACTCCTCTTCTGTTAAGTCGGATAAGTGGTTTATACCCATTTTCCATGTAACTTCGCCATTCTCATATTTTTTGTTGTGTTCTTCGACCATTTGCTTGGATTTAATGTAGCGTTCACGACGCATTTTATCCTCAGCATCATCAGAATAAATTTTATTGAACTTCGACTAAAAGTGTTAAAATATTATGTATAGACGCCTAATATAACAAATATCTTACCTTATACTCCTCCCATTCTTGATCAGAAACTAGTGACATTTTTATATGTATATGCAGTTTACTGTTGTCGATAAACAACTGCGCTCTTATGAACTTTTGCTTTATACTTTAAATAAAATTAAAGTATTTCAGAAGCTGTATTATTGCTGATAAAAGCCACAGAAATGACTCATTTATTTTAGTAATTCTCTTTGTCGAAATCGTGTCTGCAAAACAAAGGCAGAAAAACGTCGAATATGTACAAACATATATTAACACAAAACAATTTCCAATCTGACGAATAGGGAAAGAAAACAATAGTATCATGTGTTGAATACAATGCTCGCGACAGACTGCAAACGACATCTGTTAAAGCTGCACGACTACACGACTGCAGGCCGACAGATAATAGGTTTTCAATGCTGCCGAGTAGATGGCGCAAAATCAGAGTCGCACAGAGCGATTTAGCGTGGATCAGTTTCAAATCATTTCGATGAAGTGATTTTGAACTGTCATTTTTTATGGCGAAATCTTAGTTAGTGGGATAGACTAATCGTGTGATTAACCGTGCGATTCTGTACTGTGATACAGTATCAAGTCTCTAAATTTGACAGAGACAATTTTTGAGACTTGAGATGATTTTGCTATTCTGTAAGTGATAGTCACAAACTCTATTACATTTCATTATTCAGAGATGTTTATATACTTGAATGAAAGTAAATATGTCTATTCAGTATATTCAAAATGGCAGACAAGAGTTCTTTTTGGTTTTGTGACTTGCTAACTACCAGGTCTCAAATTTGAGGCAATATTTTGAGACTAAAACTAGAGACTGTTTAGTGAATAGTAACTAGTCACAAATTGAGATTTTAYCACAAAATGTCTCAAATAGAGACTAGAGACTGGTTACAGAATCCCGCTATAAAGCTAGAGACTATTTAGTGAATAGTAACTAGTCACAAATTGAGATTTTATCACAAAATGTCTCAAATAGAGACTAGAGACTGATTACAGAATCCCGCTATAAGTGTCGGTCTGAACATAGTATAATCTTATAGCGGGATTCTGTAACCAGTCTCTATTTGAGACATTTTGTGGTAAAATCTCAATTTGTGACTAGTTACTATTCACTAAACAGTCTCTAGCTTTAGCCTCAAAATATTGCCTCAAATTTGAGACCTGGTAGTTAGCAAGTCACAAAACCAAAAAGAACTCTTGTCTGCCATTTTGAATATACTGAATAGAGATCACCATAGATATTAATCGATTGTCGTTTTTTTATATTTTGTAAGCAACTCAAACACGAAAAGGTAAAAAATAAATAAGTTTTACATAAATTTCGTTAATATTATGAAACAAAGTCAACATATATTTTTATTTTTTATTGATAATAAGGTTTTTTGAATATGTTATAGAAAATTCAATATTTGTTATCGACATATTTATTTTCAGTCAAGTATAAAAACATCTCTGAATAATGAAATGTAATAGAGTTTGTGACTATCACTTTCAGAATAGCAAAATCGTCTCAAGTCTCAAAAATTGTCTCTGTCAAATTTAGAGACTTGATACTGTATCACAGTACAGAATCGCACGGTTATAATTATCACAGCTGATTTAGACACTACAAAGGGAAAAAATTGTTAACAAACAAACAATTTTTTTAAAGCAATGAATATAATTTCACCTGAAAATCGACTTAACAAACGAAAAAACGCATTAATTATTTCTATTATATGGAAAATATTTAAATATGAAGGATTTCATCTCAATATATGTCAATCTCTTCTCTTGAAAAATATTAGGCAATAACAGCTGTTTTTTGAGCTTTCTAACGGCAGTGAGAAAACTCTTGAGTTATGAAATGCTTAAATGTAATATAATCTTTTAAATTATTTAAAAAAAATATTTTTGAATTTACAGCTGTTGACAACTAATAGAAATGCTCCCTTTTTTATATATGATGAGTATAATGATACAAATATTTGATATGCCGCTATTTACATTCCTAAAAATCTTGCATTATTCGTGTTCCTCTACTTACTACTACATACACTTTGTTTTGAAGTTGTGAAGTTAAAGTTCTTTTAATTTTTTTTTTAAATAGTAAATGCGTTACAATATAGAAGGTGAATAAGGTGCGACAGCTAATTAGAAAATTTTTTTTAAAGAATTACAATTCCATCGGGTGATAACTTTTATTAGCAATATTATTGATTTCTGTTAAGGATGTGTTTCAAAATTGTGGTTTAAAAAATATTATTAAAGTTTTTTAAAGAAATCAGCTTGCAGCTRTACAGCTACTCTTCGTAGCTACATTTTTGACCTTCGTCGATCTGGAAGGATGTGTAAAAAAATTTCGAATAAGGTCAAATTCTCAAAAAAAATTGTTTTGAATGTCCTGCGTAAACAGAATTTTAAAACTATTTTCAATATTGCACGCAAATAAAAAATTCTAAAAACTTCAACAGAAATATTGACTAGACTACTACTATTACTGTCTCCCGAGGATACCCAAAAAAAGAGTTCCACTGACATTCTGGCATTTGGTCGAATCCGAACTTCACGGCAGGGTAGCACGCAGGAACCCACTTCTGACTAAAATTCGTAGAAGCGACGCGTAGACTTTGCCTACTCTTATTGGTCTAAGACAATAAATCAATGGAGGTATGTCGTTTGGAACGATGTAACAAAAATTAATCGCTTAGGACCTGATGGTGAATGGTGTTGGTCCACTCCATGGTATTGATGGAATTTTAAACAAGGAGAAATACGTCTGCATCCTAAAAAATGTCATGTTGCCATGGGCTGAGGAAAATTTTCCTATTATAAGGAAGAAAAAATTCAAGTCATACGTCTAAGTTGACACAAAATTTTTAATGAAATTCTCTCAATGGTTTGGAGTGGGATCGTCTAGCCCAGACTTATAGCGGTATTCTGTAACCAGTCTCTAGTCTCTATTTGAGACATTTTGAGGAAAAATATCAATTTGTGACTAGTTAGTATTCACTAAACAGTCTTTAGCTTTATTTTCATTCAAGTATAAAAACATCTCGGAATAATGAAAAGTACTAGATTTTGTGATTGTCACTTACAGAATAGCAAAATCGTCTCAAGTCTCAAAAATTGTCTCAAATTTAGAGACTTGATACAGTATCTCAGTACAGAATCGCACGGTTAAAGCCTATAGAACATCATATGCACAAAAAATATCCCAAATTCGGATGTTTTATGTGAGGAAATTAGAACGGTATGACAAGCTACACCATTGGTGCGATGTCATGTGAGAAACACAATGCTCGCGACAGACTGCAGCAGCACGACAGTGAACTGAAAATTTCGTTGTGAAACCTACTTCATGAACGTTTGCGAGAGGGCAGCAACATAACAATGGCCGGCATGTACACAAAACAACTCATGTGAGGAACACAATGCTCGCGACAGACTGCAGCAGCATGACAGTGAACTGAAAATGGCGTTGGGAATCCTACTACATGAACGTTTGTGAGAGGACAGCAACATAACAATGGCCGGTACACAAAACAATGCAGTTGTCAATTTTGCATGTACACAATTTCGTTGTGGTCATACTCATACCTTGCACTTCAATGAAATTTTAATATTTTGTTCAAAGTGAAATTTTTTATGCAAAAAATAAGTAAATAGGTAAATATTTTTGCTTTAAATTATCAATTGTTATTATAAATGATGCAACAGAGCTATTTTATATTTAATTTGTAAAATAACGTCAAGTTTGTTAGAGCTGTGAATAATTTTACATTTTACATATTAG